GCCCAGCCCCTGAGCACCCCGAGGTTGAGCCTCCTCGGCCCCTTCCCCGGCTCTGGTTGTGGTGGTTCTGGCCCCGGGGTCTCCTTCCTGCTCCAGGGCTCCGGTCTGCACGCCCCTGGGCCTGGGCCTGGGCCTGGGCCTGGGAGTGCCATGAAAACGTAAGACTTGCCGTGGTCTGGGTCCGGTGCTGGCCCGTCTCCTGTGTGGCGCGGCAGCAGAGTGCGATGCCGAACGGGGCTGAGCAGGGTTTTCCCCTCTGCCTCTCCCTCGCGGCCTGCAGCATTTAAGGTCCAGGGAGCTCCGATGCCGAGGCCGTGCCCCGCGCCCGGTACCTGCCAATGCCCTTTTCCTCCAAGCACACGTCCGGCCCCTTTTTTGAACCCGGCTCAACGGCTTCCAAGCTGTCCTGGCGCCAACCTCCTCCCTCTCCTCTGGCAGGTCCTGGGCTTTGTGGCCAAGGGCTCGTTCGGCATGGTCCTGAAGGTGCTGGACTGCAGGCGGGAGATGGTGGTTGCGGTGAAGGTGAGTGCCCGTCCTGCACCGCCCTGCCTGTGCCCAGGCCGTGCCGCTCCCGCTCACCCCTGCTGTGCCTCTCGCAGGTGGTGCCCAAGGTGGAGGTGCTGCGGCGGGACACCCTGAAGCAGTGCAAGGAGGAAGTCAGCATCCAGGTACCTGCCAGGGCTGGGGGATGTGGGGCAGCCGGCTCCTCTCCCTGGCTCCCAGGCAGGGACAGGTGCCCCCCATCAGAGGGGGGCTGGGCAGGGGCTGAGCCCTCCTGCGGGCCCTGCCTATTCCTGCCCACCCTGGCTCGGGTACTCACGGGTCCTTTCCCTCCATTGCCAGCGGCAGGTGCAGCATCCCTTTGCTCACTGCCTCGGGGACAGCTGGCAGGGACAGCGGCACCTCTTCATCAGTGAGTGACCATCTGTTGCTGGCCGGCGGGAGCCGGTCCCCTGCAAAAGCTCCCTTGCTCCCCCTGCGCACGTCTCTGCCACACGCTTGCCCCACGCTAAGCCGGCGGCTGCAATCCCTGGATTAGCTGCGCTGCTTGCTGCCCCGCAGATCAGAGGGGCAGGGGCTGCCTCTTCCCCGGGGGAGAGCGGTGCGCGGTGTGGGGGTGACAGGAAGCCGTGTGGGACCTGCTCTGCTCCCGGCTCCCCCAAGGGAAGCGGGGGTCTCTTGGGGGCGGCTGGGCTGCAGCGCGTCTGTTTGCTCGCCCTGCGCAGTGTGCACGTACTGCAGCACCGGGGACCTGCATGCGCTCTGGGCGTCCTCGGGGCACCTGGAGGAAGCCACCGTGCGCCTGTTCGCGGCCGAGCTGATCCTGGTGCTGGGTGAGTGGCCGGTGCTGGGGCGGAGGGAGCTGGTGGGCATTGCTGGGCTGCCCTGGCGATGCTTCTGGGAGCCCCAGCACCGGTGGAGGTTGCTGGGCTCCCACCCTGCTCCAGGCTGGTCTGTGTCTCCTGCTGCCCCCTTTGAGGGGCTGGCCAGACCCCAGGAGCTCCACTGTCCCCTCCAGGTCTCTTGTGGGGGCTGCTCTGGGATGGGCTGGGGAAGCCGTGGGGAGGGGACCGGGCTGCTGATGCTGCGCCTCCCCGCAGGGTACCTCCACGACCTGGGCATCGTGCACCGCGACGTGAAGGTACGATGTGGCCCCATCCGGCCTTGCCATGTGCCGGTGCCCTGCCATGGGGGTGCTAGCTGCCAGGCTCGGGTGCCTTGGCCCCACTGGTTCCATCCTCCCCGCTGGCAGGGGCCCAAGGGGCTTCGGGGCACCGGGGCAAGGGACCCTGCCACCTCTTGCACTTCTCCTGTGTCCTGGGCATGGGAGCGACATAACCCACCGTCTCCTCCTTGCAGATGGAAAACATCCTCCTGGATGAGCGAGGTAAAGCCCGGTGGGGCGCCCGTCCCGGGGCTGGTCCCCTCCTCCCAAGGGGAGTGGATTTGGCTTGGGGCATTGGGCTGGGAGGGGAGGTCACCTCCTCCACCCACAGCCCCAGGATGGGGCCGGGCCAGGGGTGCGCAGGGTGGGGGCAGGCCGGTGATGCCCCCGCGCCTCCCTGCAGGGCACCTGAAGCTGACGGACTTCGGCCTTTCCCGGCACCTGCCGCGGGGGGAGCGCGCCTACACCATCTGCGGCACGCTGCAGTACATGGGTGAGCTGCGGGGTTGGGGTCAGGGTTGGGGTCGGGGCCCGGGCCCACCCTGACACTTCCTCATCTCCCCGACAGCCCCCGAAGTGCTGAGTGGAGGTCCCTACACCCACGCTGCTGACTGGTGGTCCCTGGGGGTCGTGCTCTTCACCTTGGCCACGGGACAGGTGAAGGCCATGCTGCTCCAGGCCCCCAGCTGGGCCCGAGCCCAAGGGGCTCAATGGGGAGAGGGGCCCAGGCGCTGACCCTCCCTCTCCGTGCCCCCAGTTCCCCGTGGCGCCCGAGAGAGACCACGTGGCCATGCTGGCGAGCGTGACCCGGTGCAGCTACGCGATGCCGCCCAGCCTGAGCCGGGCGCTGTCCCTCCTGCTCAGCGAGGTAATGCCCGCTGCCCACCTCCCCGTCCCCCGGCGCTGCCCGCGGCCCCTCACGCCCGGCTTCTCCCCCAGCTCCTGTGCCGCCCCCCGCTGCAGCGCCCGCACCACCTGCACCACTTCAAGGCCCACCCCTTCTTTCGGGGTGTGACCTTCGACCCCCAGCTGCTGCAGAAGCACGCCGTGGCCGTGGCCGTGGCCGCGCCGCGGGCACCAGAGACCGCGCTGGACG